GAAGGAACCAACCTGTTGACACCTGCTCTGAGACTTCTGCCTCCAGGACTGAGACAACCCATTCCGATTGTTCAAGCCACCCAGGCCTGGTGCTTTGTCACAGTCGCCCAGAGAAGGAATACAGTGAGGAGCAGGTCGCTTGTTTTATGTTGCTCTTCCACTGAGCGCTGTAGAAGACACAGATAGGTTTCCTAGTAGGGCGGCCATTTCTGTGCTGCCTGATTCTTCTTTTATACAAACTGCCTCCCTGTCTAACTGTCCTAAGACAACCTACAAATGCTGACAACAACAGTGAGGCCTCAGGTTTCGTATGTTAAGGTCATGGTCAAAATTTTAACCTCCATTTGCCCCTTATCACATACATTTTTTTCTATTTAACTAGTTTATAAAGATTGAGGAACTATAATCATCCATAAATGAAACAAAATCTTAGCTAATTAAAGCATGTTTATTTTGATACTTAATTCATATTTTGAGACTGTGTATAGCAGATCTTTTGAAAATTCTAAAGATATCAAAACCATCTGAAATCCTCAAGAGGACATATTTATTCTTAGTTTACTTAAACCCTCTCCCTTTCTTTCAATCTTGTAAAAACCAAATGAATAAGGCCCTACCCAGTTTGTCTCAGCAGATACAGCATTGGCCTGCAGTCTAAAGGGTCCCAGGTTCAATTCCGGTCAAGGGTGGCACATGTACTTCAGTTGCAGGCTCAATCCCATTGCGGAAGGCAACCAGTCGATCTCTTTCACATCAATCTCTCTCTCTCTCTCCTCTCTTTGTCCCTCCCCCTCCACTCTCTCTAAAAAGCAATGGAAAAATATCCTCGAGTGAGGATTAACAACAATAAAAAACAAAGACAAATGAATAAGAGCATTGATGAGTATGTTTTTTCTCAAATTATGATTTTGTGTAACTAACTTTAAAGGATAATATATACTCTTAATAAGTCATACATCCAGGAATCAATATTTTCATTAAAATTTTAACAAATACATTAGGACAGTCTGTCAGCAGGCCCAGGGTGCAAGGCGTGGCCTTCTGTGGCTTCACGGTGTTGTGATTTCCCATATCTTGCTGATGGGTCAACAGAGCAAACAAAATGATGTGAGAACAGAGACAGGGTGCCTTGAATAATCTGCTGTGGGCAATGAGTATACATTTCTCTGGACATCGAGCAGCAAGTGTTTACTCAAGGTCCACCTCCTTTAGCCATAACCCCTGCCCGCTAATTGTGGGTTGGATGTCTTTATGAATCAGATGAAGAATTTCATAACTAAACAGTTTCTCAGATTTCTGTGGGGCTTCTGTCAGGCTTGATTAAGACTCACTCATGTATGTCAATGATGAGTTAGAAATCTGCCATCTGATTGGATGTTTCTGAGTGATTCTAAGCTCCCTGAATAATAAAAATGAACAAAGGTGAGCATTTTCCCTGAGGAAGTTAATAAGACTAAATTTAGTGGTGTCCTCTGGTTCAAGAAAGGAATTGAGAAATTATGTGTTCCAAGATTTCTCCATGAAAGAGCTTAATAATATATGGGTGTTGATCAAGCTGGGATGTGACCCAGAGAAATAAATGGCTGGACACTCCCCACGTATACAGGTGGATGGCATTGGCTGTTTACACCTGCGAGCCTCATACCAATGTGCAATCTCCTGGCTCATCCGGTTTAATGCGGTCACACATTCAAGTCACCTGAGGCAGGTGTGAACAGTGGACACTAAACAGCAGCCAGCAGCACTGCAACCCTGGATTCACTTGTGGCATTTACTTCCTGGTGCAGCCCTGGCATTTGTAGAGTTCTGTGTTGGCTACTGGGGTTTGGCCTGGGACAGTGAAGGTCGCCCATTCTGTGTGTGTTCCTCAGTGCTTGCTGTGTGCTTACCTGCTGGCATTCCAGGGATGGCGGGGGAAAAGTTCCAAATCTTTGTATTTTTATTGATTTCAGAGAGGGAGGAGGGATAGAAACATCAGTGAGAATCATTGATTGGCTGCCTCCTGCATGCCCCCCACTGGGATCGAGCCCACAACCTGGGTGTGTGCCCTTGACTGGAATTGAAGCCGGGACCCTTCAGTCTGCAGGCTGACGCTCTATCCACTGAGCCAAACCAGCTCGGACAAAAGTTCCAAATTTAGAATTGCACAGGACAGAGCGTGCGGCCTGATAGTCGCTCCCCGGGGTCTGGGGTGGTCCTTGAGGTGGTGACACCTCAGCTGAGCAGTCAGCCTTCAAACGGACAGTGCCAGCCTCAACTGACGCCGCCCTTTCACTCAGGCATGTCAGAGTCCCAGGAACTGAGACCTGCACCAGGCTTTGGGAGGGGATGGCAGCGGCCAGTGAGGGGCAGGCAGATGGTTACCAGAAGAAGAGAGGTGCAGGGCTGGGGGAGATGAGTGGGGGCAAAACCATAGGCACCCCTCCCACCCACCCCCGCAAGCCAGGTGGGGCGTTCCTGGGTGTTTAGGCAGTGCCCAGGATCTAACTGGTGGGCAGTGGTGGGCACACAGAACTAACTGGATCTCCATCATAACAGATTGGGTGTGAGACCCATGTAGGCCTGAGGGCCTGGAGTTTGGCCAAGAGGAAAGGGAGAGGAATCTAATGGAAAGGGGAAGCGTAGACCGCAGGAGTGTGGCTGAAGGCATGGATCTTGGGTATGACCACCAGGGAGGGGGCGTGGGGATGGGCAGAGCATTAAGAAACCCCAATGCTGTGTTTCCTGTTCTGTGAGGCCTCACAACCACAGCTGGGCACTGTGGTCTCAGTGAGTGTAGGGGGACCCTGGGCCAGCAGGGGCAAAAAGGGGGGCAGAAACCACTCCACTCCACACATTTTCAGGAAAGCTGTTTCCACAGTCTGTTGTCCACTTTATCTGGCAACCAACATAAACCCTCACTTGGAGAGTGTTTTTCTCCGTAGCTTCTGTTTGCAGACATTCAAAATCCAACTTCTCAGATGATTTTTATTTATAAAGAAACTAAACCAGACATTTTCTTCTTTATTGCAAGCAGATTCAAGTCTCCTGCTTAGATAATCTGCAGAAAAGTCCAATATAATTAATATTAACTCATACTTTATCTACAGAAATAAAAGTTAAAAACAGCATACAAAATAAACTGTACAGAAATGTAAGATTTGGTTTAATTTATAATTTAATGTTTCAAAGCAGGTTAATGAATTACTATCAATTAAACATGACTGTCTGGAGGCTGACATTATCTTAAACGCACCTACTATAGTCAATAATTTAAAAATAAATTCCAGTATTTATGATGATGACAACTACAGATTCCA